GATATTTTGAGATATATATACCTCCATCAACATAGCTATCAGACTGGACACAAACAACACTAATGATAAAGTGAAGTAGCGAAATTAAATGGTGTTTGTCGATCATTTAAAGATTTACAAAACTTTTTTATTAGTTTGCTGGAGATCCCACCTTGACTAGAGAGGATAATAAAACTTTTTTTTATAAAAATGCATTACATTTATAGCCCTTTAGCTTCAAAGCCCTGATGGCTTTTGTGTTGGTTGTGAATGGGCCAAGGCCAATGTGAGCAGCCATTGGGCTGCACCCTAGTATGCACATATCTCTTGGAGCCTCACAGTGCCCATCATTATTGTTCATCAAATTTGTTTTAAGTTTTAAATTTCATTTGGGTATTTATATTTTATTTTAGTTTTAAATTTAGTTATCCATTTAAGAAAAAAGGAAAGAAAAATCGATAAAAAAACAAAATATTATTTAATACTCTCGTAACAGTGGAGCGTCATCACGGAACAGATAATTTAGTATATCCAAAAAGGTAGTACTGGGTCTAGAAGTTAGACACGTGATTATTGTGCACATGATTAACGAGATTATACGTTATCGTGTTCTAGATTTGAGGTCTTAGGAATCTTCGACCGTTATTTTGACGATATATATATATATATATATATATTTGGGGATAAATTGGACAAAAAAATAAAAAGAAAAAATAAAATATAAATGACGACCTTAAATTGACCGCTCTCCCTGTACCCAAAAGCCAACGAAACCCTTCTGCCTAAGCAAAGCTCTTCTCGGTACTCTCTTCAACTTCATTTGACTATAAAGAAAGTAAGTGGTTAGGCAAGGCCATCTTCATTGGCTGACCCAGAAGATCATTAAAGCTCTGCAAGAGGCTTCGGCATATTCACCCTTTTCATCTTTGATTCTCGCCTTTTTGCTTTGGGTAATCGTTTCTTGTTTCCTTTTTTCTGATGAGTTTATCTTGATTTCTCTTAATTTTTGAGTTCTGATTGAAATTCAACCAGGTTTTGTTACGTAAAGTGGGTGTTTTAAATCTTACTTGCTTTGTGTATTGTGTTTGGGATAGTGGGGGGTTTTTAGTTGTAGATGCTTCATTCCCATAGTAGCTGAATTCTCCGAAAGTGGTTTTATTTGAATTTGTTGAGTTGTGGATGCTTGTTTCAGAATTCGACTTCGATTTAGAGCAAAAAAGAAAGACCCGTGTAGAAGTACTCGAGGAAGACACTAACTTATGCAGAGAACTTGAGGTGGAGAACAACAATTGCAATTTCATAACGCTTTCATTTTTGTGAGATTAGCATTTTGCTTTAACTTGGTCTGATTCTCTTGCAGATTGTTGCTTGTTGACACCTTGAGATTGTGTCTGTATTTATAGAGAGTCAAAATGAATGGTTACATGCTGGATCGTGTCATCAAGGATATACTAACTGCGGTTGAGCCGTTGCAAGATGATTGGGCAGCGCGGTTTCAAATCATTAACGAGTTGCGGGATGTCGTGCAATCTATTGAAATTCTGCGAGGTTCTTATTGTGATCTTCAGAGTTACTTTTTCAAACTTTGTTCAATCAATGACATGACATTGTGACTTGAGGTTGTTAGCTTTTCATATATGAGATTTTGGTTATCTGGTCAAATCAGGTGCAACAATTGACCCATTTGGGTCCTTTGTATCTAACCTATTTTCTCGTTGGGGAGACTTGGATATCTCTGTTCAATTGCACAATGGTTCTTATGTTTCAACTGCGGGGAAGAAGCTTAAGCAGACTTTACTGAAAGATGTTCAAAAAGCATTGAGGAAAAATGGTGCTCTTCTAATACATTTTACTTCTTTCATTTTCTCCCCATAATTTGCTAGCTTAGGAACTCGTAAGACGTTGCTAGGAACATTTAAGTTAAATCTTTCTTTACACGATGAAGTATTGTTTCCCTTTTACCATATTGAGTTCCCAATTCATTGACAGAAATAGAAAAGGAGGTTGATATCCTGGTGTAGTTATTGCAAGAACTAATTCAATCTAATGAATGTAGTTTATTTTTTAGCAATAGAATGTGTTAGCCACCTTGCTACAGGACCAGCCTGCCTAGTTATAATCGGGTTACTCCGAGTGTGGTGAGTGTTGGCTGTGAGGGAGGATTGTTTTCGTTTAGATTGATGTTTTCTTATTCCTTGAGAATTTTTTTCTGCAGGTGGATGGTACAAGCAACAATTAATCGCTCATGCAAGAGTTCCCATTTTGAAGATCGAAAATATTCAGCACAACATTTCTTGTGATATTTCCATTGATAATCTTGTGGGGCAAATAAAGTCTAAAATTTTGTTGTGGCTTAATGACATAGATGGGCGCTTCCATGATATGGTTATGCTTGTATGTTCTTTTGGCATTGTCGAACTTGTCAACTCTCTTTCCAAAAAGTGCTTCAATGTAGTAATCATCCTCTCTAGCTTTGTGTAGGTCAAAGAATGGGCAAAAGCGCATGACATCAACAATCCAAAACAGGGGACTTTCAATTCATACTCTCTCAGTTTGCTTGTGATCTTTCATTTGCAGGTGGTTTTTCTTCCAATGCTGTTTTGTCAAATGCTAAAATTTATGAACCTTACATCTTAGATTGCTTGAGCTTAGTACATGTCTGCTATGACATACTTGAATCCATTGTTCATCCCCATCTTGGGCGATCTTCGATTTCTGCTTTTTTTTTTCCTTCCTTCACTAGCTTACTTGACTAGAAGCGGTATTTATTTTTATGTTTTTTGCAGACTTGCTCCCCGGCCATCTTTCCTCCTCTTAAAGACATATATCCAGGAAATGTTGCCGACAATCTCAAAGGTACTTTTGCATAGAATTTGTTGTCTTGTGCATTCTTAAGTGCTTTATCTGGCAAGGATGAGGAATGCTTATGAACATTCAAATGATAGATGTTCTAATCCTTTAATCAATTAAGCTATCTAAGGTCAATTATGTACTTAGAGCTTATGCAAATACATATGTAACTCAAAGGAATACCGTGTGTATTAGTCGAGGTGTTGTGCATAAAAGAAATGAGACCGATCAGTAAGTCTAAAATATTAGTTTATGAATTGAAATACGAAGTAATGTGGCATGTATGTATTTAACCAGGTGTGAGGGCTGAAGTTGAGCAAGAAATTGCACAGACATGTGCAGCCAACATAGCCAGGTTCAAATCAAGAACAGTCAACAAAAGTTCTTTGTCTGACCTCTTTATTTCATTCCTTGCAAAGGTAATATCTTAGTTAAATTATTGTTCTTGCATCTTGTTAGTTTTAACATTTGTTCAATTATAATCTCTATACTTTCATAAAATGATCCATTTCAGCTTCTAGTTAAATAGAGCATGCAATAATTATATTGTTTTGGCACCTGATTTTGTGATGATAATGAGCTAGCTAGTCATGTTTCTTGTCTCTGTAACTATCACAATCTTTCATTGTTATTGTTTTGTCTTGTGCAGTTTTCAGATTTAAGTTCAAAGGCATCGGAGCTAGGAATTTGTCCTTACACGGGACAATGGTTGGAAATAGAAAGCAATATGAGATGGTTGCCAAAAACATATACGATATTTGTAATGTCTCTCTCCCTCTCTTTATGTCATCTCATGCTTTCCATAGGCGGCATTTCATTTGCCTATGCTCTGATGTTGTGGTGGGGTTCGGGATGGCTGTACAGATTGAAGATCCATTTGAGCAACCAGAAAATACAGCCAGGGGTATTAACGCGAGGCAATTGATGAAGATTTCTGAAGCATTTCAGAGCACCCATTTTAGGCTCACCTCAGCTCATCTGCATCCAAATTACATCCTAAATGATTTAGCCCGACCTCACGTATCGCAATTGATCATTAAGTCATCTGGATCTGCTAGTGTCCCAGCGTTTAATATTGGTAATTACCCCCCAATTCGTCCACAGTTTCACCAAGCCAGAGTTGCACACTCCCGTCCATATGTTCAACATCAGTTCCAAAACAATGCCCCAAGGTTCACTATGGGAAACTCCCCCCCAATCAACGCACAGGTACCCCATGCTGGAACTACACAGTCTCGCCCACCAGTTCAACACAAACCCCCAAATGGCATACGTGTGAGCAATCCTAGCAGTTTGAAAGTGGGGGAGCCTTCAAAACCCTCGACTTCTAATGGTCAAGGCCAGCAAAAGTGGAGGCCAAGATTTCAGAGACAGGTACTGTGAACTGCTTTGTTTGACCTTTGCTTTTGTACACATACTTGGCTAAGAAAGCTCAATTGCTCCCCACATGGCCATTCTCTGTTACATTATCCTTTTCGTTGCATTTTTTTGTGCTAACACAGCTGGGGTTTGAAAGGTCACTCAAGCCATTAATATCCCATTTTTAGTTGAGAGACATTGCTTGTAATGATACCCCATTTTTCTGTTAATCTATACCTTTATTCTGTCTCCTCCATCGAGGTTAAAGACCGAGTATGACTAGAAGGGGTATAGAATTTCTAGCATTGGCATTTAATTTAACTCGCGAGTTAAACAATTACAGCAAATGGCCTATTCGTTGATTCCATCATTTACTTTCTCGTTGTCTCACATTAGCATTGTGGCCCTCTGGTTTTCATTTGTCTTTAACTTCTGTTCCTATCTTGTTGGTTTAAACGCGGTCAGTTGATCATTGATTCGAAACATGTCGATAGAAAATAGATTCCTAAGTAATGTCCTTCAATTTCCTCTGAAGGTTTAGGACATTTTTAGTGATCTACCTTCAAAAGGTCAAAGCTGGAAGAGAACTAATGCAAATTATTCGCCCTACGAACCAATAAAAAATCAGTTATAACTCAGTTAGAAATACTACATTATCTATCTATTAAATATATTTGATATGGTAACGAAACTCTTGACTGTAAGATGTCAAATATATTATTCGCCTATGGTAATGCATAAATCGAGACCCTCATCCCAAATATAAGCAGAAAAAGAAAGGTCTATGTAATGCATATTGAGGACGAAACATATTTTCCTCCAAAACCAACAAACTCTGTCTAACATATTATCACCAAAAGAAAACTTTATAGTGATAGTTATGATATTACATCAAGATTCTTCAAATCACCATTTATAAGCCTAAAACACTTGAATATAAGAGAAAGTGTTCTAACTTATAAGATGTGGTATAAATATAATCTACCTCAATCAGGAACTGCTATCTACTGTCCCCATTACTACTTTATAGGATTTCTTCCTAATAGCCTCTGACCATTAAAGAATGAGTACATACATAAATGTACATGCACATGGATGAAAGCTATTGTCTATGCATTTACAATTGAATCTAACATTTTGAAAGGAGGGGCAGCTAACTAACAAAACTTTGTCGAATGTCGGAAAGAGGGTCGGAATTCAGGTGGGTGATTCGGCCAGAAGCAGGGTGTGCCACCATCCACATGCAATGTTCGTAGGAGTGCAATTTTCGATCGGGACTTCAACAGGGATATTGCGGTCGATTACATCACCCAAACCCAGCTGCAGTGTGTAAATGGAAACTTCTAAGAAAACAACTTATAAACATGCATTTATGAAGAGGACATGAAAAACTACAGAATATTTGTGACAGTATTTTTAAGGAAAAAGAAAACAGGGAATCAAACCAACATACCTGGCCATACTTGTTCCAACCCCAGCAGAACACTTTCCCATCGTCTAGAAATTGGAGAAAGAAGACGTTAGAATGAATATCACAAAAATGAGTATCCAACAATCCAAATTCTTCAAATATAATGCATAAACTTTAGAGAAATCCAGTAATAACATAGTTCTTTAGAAGTTCTTGGTGACCATTCGACTTAAACAGGTATATCTTCCTCCTTTTTTCCTTACGTTCTACTAGATGTCTTCTAAACAGACACAATTTCTTCAGAACCTAGAGGTTTAAAAGAAGAAAAAAAAACACAGATCGACTAGATCTTCTATGAAGTTCCAACATAAAATGTCTATCTCTCCCCCAACAAATAATGTAACACTTCAAACCGAAGCTCACCACTGACAGATATTGTCGTCTCTGAACTTTCCCTTTCGGGCTTCTCCTCAAAATTTTAAAATGCGTACGTAAGGGACAAGTTTCCAATTCCCCTCTCTAACCGACGTGGGATCTCACAATTCACCCCCCTTGAGGGCGTAGTGTCCTCGCTGACATACCGCCCCGTGTCTGACTCTAATACTATCTGAAACAGCCCAAACCCACCGCAAGCACATATTGTCTGTTTGGGCTTTCCCTTTCGAGTTTCCCCTTAAGGTTTTAAAATACAACTGCTAGGGAGATGTTTCCATACCCTTATAAGGAATGCTGTTCTCCTCACCAACCAATGTGAGATCTCACAAACCATTGATGATCACTAGCTTTTAGTTTTAGTCTGTGCCTAAAGTTTTGTGAATTCCCACCGGAAGCACCAACATGCTTTGGACTTCTGAAACATTATTGTTTATAATTTCTCACTTCTAATTTAAAGTTCAGAAATTTGAACTTCTTCATCCCAGTAAATTAAAGACTGGGTCTTATGAATCAAAAAGCACATAGAATAGTACCAAGTAAATAATGAAGCACCTGTTACTATAGCACTATGACGAGCCCCACACGATACAACCTTTGCATTTACATTTTCCACACTTGCTGCATCTAGAAGTCTTGGAAGTGTCTGAATAAATGGTTGGAAACAAAAGAAGACACAGCCATAAATTACTTTGTTCTGCTTTAGAATGCATACTATCATAGAAATCTGATCGAGGATGCCTGCTGGCATGATCTGACTAGTTGAAGCGGTTAGTAAAGCATACCTCAGCTTGATCAGCACCTGTTCCTAACTGCCCAAACTGATTTCCTCCAAATGAGTATACATCACCATCAGCAGATATACAGACTGTGTGCCACAGTCCAGCAGCAACACTCTCGATCCGGATACCGAGTAACGAGGATACACATGTTGGACTTAACTCATCATCTGTACACCCTTGCCCACACTGTAAGACATAAATTAAGCCAAAAATATAGCAGCAGCACAAGAAGTAGAGATAAAGTCCAGGAAAAGGAACAGAAAGAATTATCTCTTTTCAATTGAACTTCATCTTGATCTACATCTACGTATCTTTTTCTCCACCGTTTTCTACTTTACCTACAGATGGATTCTGAAGATTGATCAATTGTCAAAATATTAAACTCCAGCTGATGTTGGGTCGTACAAAGGATCAAACTATTTAACTTGCAAATGAAATAGACATGGCTATGAAAAAGAACAGAAAAAGAAATTAATGAATAGAACATGTCTAGCACACCAAATTGTAATAGCGTACTTCACGGTGGAAAAGGCTAGGCGATGAACAACCAGCACAAGAAAGATGCCCACATATTGTCTTACCGCAAATGAAGTACGCATGATCATGTAACAAAAAGGAAATTCTCACAATAAAAAGTGATGGAATGGAATGAAGACGGCAGGAGGAAAGTACTAAAACGAAATGAAGCATGTGATTAACATGATAAATTCACCTGTCCATACAGTCCCCAACCGAATGTTAGCAGCGCTCCAGCATCTGTGGCATAAAAGATCAGAGAAAAATCAAATACATGAAACTTATCATTTAAAGTGGACAATATGACAAACACAGATGTATAGGTTAATCAAGCATCATATTTCATAAGAATACAGCAACTGATGAAGCAACAGAAAGTTTATGCAGCTACTTTATGTCAGGAAAAGAAACATCACAAAACCTGTAACTGCTGCACTATGACGTCCTCCACAAGCAATTCCCTTCACATAGCTTCCTGGAATTCTACTACCATGACCCTCTAAACTTGCACTTCCTCGAGCAAGAGCCATGGTTCTATCTTTTCCAAAAGAAGGCGACTCGATGCAAGGTATAGGATGTGGAGAGGAAACCATACGTATGCGGGAACCCAAACCTAGCTGTCCTTCTCCACCATAGCCCCAACCCCAGACCTGTCCCATATCTGAAACTTTGAAGACATTAGGGTGCATTATATGCTTTGTATTTCATGTTATTCTAATAAAGTATTCCAAGTTCCTTGACCAATTAATTTTTTATGACTCCAAAATACAACTTAAGTGGATCAAATAGAATCAGCTAGGAAAAGTTTGGACCAAATTGAGTTCGAATACATTTCGGGGACGAGTGGACAGAATTTATATATACTATGCCAGACTTACCTGACAATGCTAGTGTATGACGCCCTCCAGCTGATACAGAGATTATTCTCACCCCAGGATTAAGAGTGACAAGACAGGGAAGTGCAGAGAGAGTGTCCTCACTTGACGACGAGCTCTCAGCTGCAAGCTTTGCCGATGAAACCCGTCTCCTCTTTGTACTTTCTGCTCCACCACCTCTAGCTTCAATATTGGAAACAACACCAACAGTAGATCGTCCAGCTTGTAAACGAGGACTTGCTGCCACAAAGAACATGAAAGGCAGTGAAAAAAACTTTGAAGATCCCCTTATGATAACTAAGTTCGAGAGTACCTTGATCTATCATGGAAGAGGACTGCCTTTCTAATACATCCTTTTCATAGCCAGCCCCAACAGACAGATCACCCAAGATCTTTCCAGAGGGAACACATTCTTTCCATCCCCATGTGTAGACCTCTCCTCTATCTGTACATACACAGTAGAAAATGCACCAGACAGGCACTTAGCGATACAATAATCATTCAAACCATCTCACAGATCTCATAGGAAATAAAAATCCTCTTTTCGCTAAATGACTGAGCCATCTAATTCCTTCATATATAAAAATTCATTTACATTTTCTATTGTGTGCATTTATTATTATTACCATTATTTGGGGGGGGACTTTGCGCTTAAGGAAATGATGCGTCTTGTGCTTTAAAATCACTAGAAATGGTTTACCTGTAATTGCAACACAATGGGCCCAACCAGCTGCTGCTTTTACTATAGAAACTTCTGTTGGAAGAGGAAAAGGCTCCGGAGTTTCCTTGAGAAAAACATTGAAATATGCTCACAGGTAAGTACATTAAGAACTAACTGTAAAACATTTAAATTCAATGCACATTGTGTATGGCTTATACCCCATGCTTCCCAGATGTCACATAGCTTTGACCAAGATCATCTGTAGAGCCCCATGTAATGAGTTTTCCAGATGCTGATTAAATGAGGAAAACATAAGAGTAAATATCAAATAAAAGAAAGAACTACATTGTGAAGAAAACTATATAATCCATTATTCGCAGTCATAAACAATCATTGAAGGAAACAACCGTGAGGACCGGTAGTTAAATGAAGTGTTGAGTACACGATAGAGAGCAAAATGTAATCAATAGAACTACACAGATCAAGAACTGAAAATACATTGGGAAGTAAAATTGTTAAAGATTAAAGAACAAAAACAATGCATAAGAAACAACAATTCCTCGTCATATAAAAAGAAGAAGACACACCGCTTCAATCTAGAGAAGGGAAAGAAAAAACTCACAGGAAAGAATACAAATTGAGTCAAGACGAATAAAAATCAGCACCTCGCTCAGAAATTACAGGGGAACAAAAAAGAACTCTATTCGCTCGATGCAAATATAAGTTCAATCAGAACAAAACATCGAAAACAAGCAAAAACTCTGAAGCGAAATGAGTTTTGAGTATTAACCATTTCAGAACAAGCATTTTCAGATTTCCAAAATCCCCAAGAACTCAAAAATCACTTCCTCGCTACATTGAACAAGATTTCAGCCGCCAAAAAGCACACCCCACAACATAATAGACTTACATTCACCATATCAACAAAATCCAGCAATGCAGGAACTCACAAAATCCCAACACAAACCAGAACAAGACACACACACACACACACAAACATATACACACAATCCCATAAAAAAATAACAAAAAAGAAAAGAAAGATGATTCGAAGAAAAATCACCAGAAATGGCCATGGCGAACCCACAACCTCCACCACAGACATCCCTCCAAACTTGACCGTCAGTGCCATCCTTTCCCGGAAGTCGAACCACCACCGGACACAGCAACGGTGTCCTCTGCGGCAAAGCTCCGGGAAGATACCCCCACATAAACACAATCTTGTTCTCTTTAACATCCTCTTCCATTTTCACTATCCCTTCTTCTCCTCTGTTCCCCTCGCCAATCATATCGATTTACTCCAAAGAAAGAGTAAATTACGAAAGATACAACAAAGCAAAGGTGCCAGTTTCTTTCGAGGTCTCGGATTTTGGTGCGGTTTCCACGGAAACAGAGAGCAATTTCACTTTGGAGTTTGGTGGACTTGAGGAAGTGATATGGAAGAAGAATGAAGTGCCCTAAGTTCGACACACTAAAAAAAAACATAAAAGGAACCGTATCATTTTCAGGGGAATGGAGAGTGCCACGTCGGATGCTTATGTGGTACTCTTGACACATGGCGCGATTTGAGCCATCAGATCCCTCAATGATTTGTAGCCAGGAATTACCGGGAAGTTTCTGGAAGGTCAGCTCCTTTTTCCCCCTCAAACCTTCACAGGCCATGTTTGGTCTGTGTCGTGGCAGTTTCTTAGCCTTCCACGTGTCGAAAATTCGCTCGAAGTCTAATCATTATGAATTGCCACGTTTTGGTTCAGCTAGTGGACCCCTTTAGCGCACCTATATACGTCATCGGTGTGGGGCCCTGTCTATTTTGCCAATAGTTCTTTTATTTTATTTATTTTTATTGATTTTTTTTAATGAAAATTGAGGACCAAAATAGGGGTAAAAGTGGTTAAAATTATTACATTTTAAAAAAGCTTGAATATGTCGAATAGAAAAGTGGTACAGAACAACACATGATGAAATCTCAGCCACTAAATAAATTTGTCTTTTAAAAAATAAAAAAAATAAAAAGTTAGTGGTGAATTGATGGATAGGGCTTATACAAAGCCACGAGATTCGGGCTATTGACGCTTCTTAATTTTGGGCCTCAAATTATGGGCCCGCTCCATCCTATCGGGCCCATATTTGAATGAGGTGTAACTCCGACACCGTTTTGTTCATCGATCAAATGATTAGGTGCGGCCGGTCCCACGGAAAGATCCGATAGGCATTCAGTGGCTTCGGTACGATCATGAATCAAGTGGTGCATAGGGCCTCGACGAATGCATTATTCTTGAGCGGCTGAGATTCAATGATTGAATGGGTCAGCTGAGCGACATGTGGTTATAGTCTTAAATTTTCCTTTCGACATGTCGCCCCTACCACTATCACTTAACGCAAAGCTCCCACTTCTAGCCTAATTAGGAATTCTCCCCGTGCATTCCGTACATTTGGAGGGGTTGAATTATTGAAGAATTATTTTTATTGAATTAAATTTTATTTAAACAGTCCCATTTTTTTTTATAAGTTCATTATAAAACGAGTCGAGACAAACATATAATTAATTACAATATAAAATAATTAGATTCTTTCCAAAAAAAAAAAAAAAATCAATAATTTTTAGCACGTAAATCTATCATAAAATAAAATTTATGCCTTTTAATGTAAATTTAATGAGTAATTCAGTAAAATTACAAATTTAGAGTAATAAGTTTAGGGATAAAATTATATTTAACCGAAATAAAATTAATAGCAAATAAAATAAATAAATAAAAAGTCAAAGATCTATAAGGCAATTTATTAAAACAATTTTTTTAAACAACTTTTTCTTAAAGTTAAAGGATAGGATATTTGTAATATCATTATATCCCAACAAACAAGTGGATGTGTTTGGTTTTCTAAGACATATTTATCAAAATTTTATAAGAATTATTATATATGTTATTTAATATGTCACGTAATTGATTTGTCTAAATTTTTATCAATTAATTATTATGGACGATAATTATTGATTAGAAGTTAAAAAACAATTAGAGGTTAGAAGTTTTATATCATAAATAAATAACAAAACTCTCTGAGCCTCAAAGTAGGGACATTTGTTAAAGGGGAAAATAGAAAAAGAGGGAAAATGGTGTCTGAGCCCGGGTTCGAACCGGGGACCTCTAGTGTGTGAGACTAGCGTGATAACCAACTACACCACCCAGACTCCTTTGTTTAGGATTATCATATAAAATAATATATAGTATTTTTAATTAATTTATTGTAAAAGAATCGTATTTCTTCCGATAATTGAAAATGGACAATAATTAATAATTTTATTAACCTTCTCGTTTAATGAGGAAGAAGAGGAAGAAGAAGAGTCTTTCCATTTCTTACCTTTTATCTTTAAATAAGGTTAAGATGAACTAGACGAGATTAAATTAGAATGTCTTGAAATGGAATATGTACAATTCTTGCCTCTTTGAAAGATCTATAACAAGGTCGACTTCAACGTCACAATGAAACCAACTATAGGATCGACCTAAATATTACACGGCTAGGTTGGTGAGTTCCATTTGGGCTTCTTCTTCTTTTCTCCTCTATATCGTGACTCAATTTCTGTGTGTTCACTAAACTTGTCCTACGTTAAAAATCTTCTTATTAATTTCACGTATAATTTTTATTGTAAATTAGGCTGGCATCCATTGGCTATCTCAACCTTTCGTTGGGTTGAAAAAATAAAAAACGTGGGTCATGGTTATGGATTTTAAAATTTCTAAACCTCGATTATAATTTGTTATTAACTTTTTTTAATTCATATTATATTTCAAGGTTGATTTGAAGGTTTGTCAAAACCAATTAACTACAAAGACAAACATATATTTAAAATAAATAAATAAATAAATATATATATATATATATAGATAAACATGAAAGTTGACTAAATATTAAAAAAAAATGAAATAAAATCGAGAGCAATAGCCAATCTGATTCATTAATTAGTGAATCGGACCACATGTGCTTAGCTTAATCCATTTTGTTTTAAAATTGTATGTATTTTAAAAAAAATATAATGAATAAAATTGAAGAAAAATACCCCAAATATTACGATAAAAGGCGTAAGGAAAGAGGCAGTGAGGAGGCGGCGGCGGGCAGAGTGGCGTTGCCCGCATTTGACAATTCCAATTTCCAATTCAAAATTCAATTCCTTCTCTTACTTTTCCAATACCAATTAATCAAATCCCATCTTCTTCAACCTCAACTCACCTCTGCAACTTCCTCCCTCTCTCATCCTTCAACAATGGCTTCCCTCATCACTTTCTCTCTCCTCCTCTCTCTCTCTCTTCTCGCCGCCGCCTCCCCTTCCCCGTATCTCTCCCCCATTTTCTCCAGAAACTACAACGCCATGTCCACAACGTTAAAGATCTTCACCTACATCCCATTCAAACCTGTCTCCTTCCCTTCCCCTGCCGAATCGCTTTTCTACAAATCGCTTCTAGACAGCCCCTACTCTACTCACGAACCTGACCATGCGCACTTCTTTTTTATTCCTTTTTCTCCCGATACTTCTACGCGCTCTCTTGCGCGTTTGATTCGCACGCTCCGTTCTGAGTTGCCCTATTGGAATCGGACTCTTGGCGCTGATCACTTCTTTCTCTCGTCGCCTGGCGTTCGCTATGCCTCTGATCGGAACATTGTCGAATTGAAGAAGAATGCTATTCAGGTCTCTGGTGGGCCCGTGCCGGTTGGGAATTTTATTTCTCACAAGGACATTACGTTGCCGCCGGTTTTCGATTCGTCGGAGTTTTCTTCTTCTTGGATTCCTGCTCCGGCGACGGAGAGGGTGCTGGGTTTCGTCGGGTATGGGTGGGTGAGAGATCGGGTTTTGGTGAAGGAGTTGATTGAGGATCCTGAGTTTTTTATGGAGTCTGAGCCGCCGCCGCCGCCGCCGTCGGAGAGGCGGAATTACGGGGAGAGATTGGGGAAAAGTGATTTTTGTTTGTTTGAATACGGCGGTGGGGGTGTTGTTTTGAGGATTGGGGAGGTGGTGCGATATGGGTGTGTGCCGGTGGTTATTTCTGACCGTCCGATTCAGGACTTGCCGTTGATGGACGTGTTACGGTGGCAGGACATGGCGGTCTTTGTCAATGGCGGCAAAGGAATTGAAGGAGTGAAGAGAGTATTGAGGCGCGTGGACGAGGAGAGTCTCGTAAAAATGAAGAGACTGGGTGCGGCGGCGGCACAGCATTTTGTGTGGAACTCGCCGCCTCAGCCATTGGATGCTTTCAATACGGTGGCGTATCAGCTTTGGTTGAGAAGGCATACCATCAGATACGCCGAGAGAAAAGAGTGGGCCCAGAGTTGAAAAATGGAAGCTCGTTTGCATGGGGTTTGGACTTTTAATTAATTGTAATTTTTTTAGTGAATATATGAAAAAAAAAAAAAAGAAGATAATAATAATAATAGTAGTTGAATTTTTTGTTAAAAATATTTAATGTGAAAATAAACATGTACTGCATTAATAAAGTTGGGTTATATGAATTGGTCCAGATTTAAATTAATTTTTTTATATTTTTTTTAATTCATTCCTCAATTGAATGGTCTATATTTCTTAATTAAAAATATCTATTTTTATAAGACACATATTTAACGTGAATTGAGCTAAAAAAAAAATAATTGATAGGTAATTTGATGGCAACATGTCAATTAAACTAAGCAAGATGACATAATAAAAACATAACATGAGAACGGGAGTAGGTAAGTTATAGTTAGAACATTGATAACAAAACTCGTGTCAGTGTAGTTTCATCCCTGGGCAAATCAAAGTAGAGTAATAACAAACCTAGTGGATGTGAATAGAAAGGCCTATAAATACATGGGACAGACATAGCTTGACTTGACTCGTGGAGTCCTCGCACCCTTGCCGTTTTAAACAAGTCAATTTAACCCCTTAAAAAACACTACTCAACATAAACCATAGTCTTGTTAGAATTTTTTTAGTTTGAGTTGAATTTTTGACATTTTTTTTATTTGGTCAACCCGACTGAAAATAGAGTTATAATCAAACTCAGATTCACAACAAACAATGAAATGAAAGAGCTTTTTAAAAGGAAAAAAAGAAGTGAGAAACATCAGAACAAGGGTAACGAGGGCGACTTCACCAAACCATAGTACGAGAAGTTAGTGAGAGGGTTGACCACAATGTGGTCGTCGTTTCTCTCATATATCTAACCGTTATGAAAGCGACGACCACAAAAAACAGAAGCTACATTAAATAATTTCTCCAAGTCAAGAATAATAGAAAGAAATATAGTGTGAGTGATGAATAAAGCAAGAAAAGTGTAATGTTGATTAGATAGAAATGTAGCCACAACAACACAATCTTAGTTAGTACTAATATTCTACAATCATACTCCTGCTACCAAAGAAAATTTCTAAGCTCATCATAATTGCATTTGGCCTCACCACTCACACCATACATGTATGTATCTCTCTTCTTGAGTTGCAGAATGTTTTGAAGCTCAGCAACTTTGTTACCCCTCACCACTTCCCCCAGCTGAAGAGCTAAAGACGCCTGCCTGCCTGCCTGTAAAATTCAAGCATTATTCAACCAGCTGAAAATCGATACATTGAGTAGCAAGGAAGAAGCTGGACCGAGCACGCATGACATGGTCAATGGAAATCATTTGCTACTAACGTTTAAACCGGTTCTGATATTTCATATACATGCAGATTCGCGCCGTGGCTTAAACATAGAAAACGAGAAAGACCTCCAATCTAGAAAAAAGATAAGGCCTAACAGATAATTACAAAAATCTTTAGTGATAGACATCAAAAGTGTAACCGCCAAAACCTACCGCTAGTAGATATTGTTCTCTTTGGGTTTTCCCTCAAGGTTTTTAAAACGTGTATGCTAGGGAGAGGTTTCCACACCCTTATAAAGAATGTTCCGTTCTCCTCCCTAACCGATGTGGGATGCAATTAAGCCTAATAAGGATGAAACGCATTTACGCAAATAGAAATAGGAGCATGCGCACAAGTACACAAACGCGTTACCAAAAGATATAATGGTGAGTTTACCTTAGTTAAGAGCAGGACAAAATGCATTCTGCCATTACGTTCTTGCTGGCACCATGAATTTACTACCCTTTTTGTCAGCTGGCTTGAGAATCTGGAAAGAGCACATCAATTCTTCGTCAACGCTCATCAGAGCACCGGCATTGTCAAATTCACCACAGTAGTTTGGAGCTGAAAATATCGTGACAAGTCGTCTATCGGCAAAGAATTCATATCCATCCTCCACAACCTAAGCCAACAACATTGTTATCTCAGAACTCGGAGAAGAAAAATCAGTGAGAAAAATGCGGGATGGCAAAAATGTTGCTGATTCTACCTGATGCGCACGACAGACAAGATCCAAGTCATGTGTTGTTAAGAACTCTGCCACTTTATCAGGGCCAAAGGTGTATGAGACTCCTCTATCATTCATTCCCCAACCTTTGACATCTTTACAAGGATCCGACCATAGCAAATCACAAAGCAAGCCAGTGTCGGGAATGACTGTCGGACGAGACAGGTTTCGTATTTGATCCAAATTTGTGAGATCAGGGGAGAGACCACCGTGCATACACAATATTTTGTCATCAATTAAAGCCGCAACAGGAAGACAGTTGAACGAGTCGGTAAACGCTTTCCAGAGTCTCACATTAAAGCGTCGCTTACATTCATCATAAAACCCATAAATCCTATTAATAGAAGCGCATTCGTGATTTCCTCTAAGAAGGAAAAAGTTTTCAGGATACTTGATCTTGTAAGCAAGCAAAAGACATATGGTTTCTAGACTCTGCTTGCCACGATCAACATAGTCGCCAAGAAACAAATAATTGGCACTTGGAGGAAACCCCCCATACTCAAAAAGTCTCAACAAATCAGAGAACTGCCCATGAATGTCACCTGCAAGTGCAAAACAAAAATGAAAGCCATTCTTTGTACAAGAACAAAAGATTTCATTCATGATATGAATCCCCACGCTACTACTTCTTGAACTCTAGCTAATCGAAAGTTTATTCTCGGGGGATTCATATCAACAATGTTCATCAAAGACGCTAGCTAATCGAGAGTTTCACAATGTTCTTCCCTTCAAACTTTTAACCAGAATCAAGAACAACCAAGAAACGAGAAACAGAAAAAAAGGGAACCCATCAAACATAATCTCATACTTCACACGAACATGTAATCATTCTCAAAGCAACAACTCCGGTAAATTAGATAAGAAATCGAACATATTAATCCAACTCCCTCCAAGAAAACATGAGGGGTCAAAGCTAGGTCAGAGACATATTGACTTCGAACGAAGAATCAAGTTCATTGTGTTGAAAGAAGAAGAAAAAAAACAAAAGGGGCAGATTAAAACGGACCGCAGATTTTGATGGGTGCTTCGAGCTCGAGCAAATTGGGTTGCTGAACGAAAATCTCCCTGGAAGAAGCACAAAGAAGCTTGATCTCGTTCTCGGAAAGCTGAACCTGTTTGCCTGGTCGCGCTAATCGGACTTCGGTGAGGCGTCTGATAATGTCGTCCAATAAAGCAGGGTCGATTCCTCCCTGCCCTTGCGAGGCCATTCAATACCCAATCTGCGAATTCGAACTTTCTTGGGGTTTTCTCTTTTTCCGCTCTTTGTTCAACAGACAGAGAGCTTCGAACGAAAACCTAGAAATCGAATTGAATTGAATTGAAATGAAGGTTTTTTCTTAACATTTTCGTCTCATCTCTCTCTCTCTCTCTCTATCCCTTTTTAATTCTTTTCTATCCGTTTCTTTGCTTTGATTTACTTTTTTTTTCTCCCTCAATCAAATTATAAATGACCCAACTTACCATTCAAATTTTGAAAATGGCTCATCATTTAGTCATCATTTTGAATTTGGACTATTTTGAGATCAAAATACCATTTTTCTAGAAATATATATTATTCATTAGAAATTCGATTCTTTCACCTATGATACGTGCGAAAAAATAATGTATACTAAAATATTGTGTGAACCCTTTAAGGGTAGCTAGCTCGATACCTTCTCGGTTTATAATGAACTGTCGTTTGGAATCTATATATATATCTATACTAGCTTCCTTCTATCCGCTACTTTTTTCCACCTACAACCCATGTGGTTTTGTTCATATGCAGTGAACTTAATACCTATTTCATGCTATGATAGCCCCTCTTTCCTTTGCTATTCCTCACAAACACATCCATGCTTTACACTATTTAGAGTATAGGCGTTAGCACAAAGTTTGTCTAGTCCATATGACAATTGTATTATAACTATTGTTGAGGCTGCTTCTTTTGAAATAAGATTCTTTCGGTGTTTTATTACCGATGATCTCTTCCATTGATATATTTTCTCTACTCATACCATAAGCTCTCATAGCTTTGTTTTAGACTTCCCCAAAATGTCTCGTACCAATGAGATAATATTTCTTGATTATAAACTCAAGATCATTTCCTAAATTAGTCGATGTTGGACTTCTAACAAGAAGAACCTCTCAACAACACCTAAATGCTTTTCGCACCGTCCTATTAAATCTCATACAAATATAATCAAATCCAAAAGCAAAAGAATCAAATTTTATCAATATGGCATTTGCTTTGCTTTCTTCAACCAAGAACAAATGCGTATCAAATTGGGACTTTTATTTATTTATTTATGTTTTGGGCTCACTTCTTTTTGTTGGGTTTAGTTTATTGAAAGAAGAGACGTAGAGATACCTTGTTAATTGGATTGCTTTAAAAGTAGGGTTTTTGACATGATGCGTTGGGTTGTTCTATGTATATATTCTATACAACCTAAAAGTAGGGTTTCGAGGGTGTCAAAAAAAAAAAAAAAATCATTCGATTGATTCAAATATGTCGAAGAATAATTTTATGGATAAGATGGGTGACAAAAACTAATGTGGTCGTTGACTTTTAACATGGTGACAACGCATACAGCTTTGAGAACCATGAATAACAAATACGTGACAAATGTCGGTAACTACTCGACAATCGTTGTGTGGAGTGAATTACATCGAAAAAAGACAAGAAATGCACTGGAAAAGTAATTGTCTTGGTATAATTAAAAAAAAATCACGATTGTCGTTACTTCATTTACAACTCAACGCTTAGATCAATTTACATTATTTCTCGGTATAAATATATATGTGAATAAATATTATGATAAATTAGATTAAAAAAATAATAATAAATAAAGTAGGAATGTAGAAAAGAATAATAGAAGCATGTGGAGAAGTATATAGGTTTAAATAATTTGAGGATTAAAGTGGATTCCTTCTGCAAAATCTGTGGGAATACTGTATATATATATATATATATATATATATATATATATATATATATTTATTATTTATTTGCCTATCTCTGAAGTCATCAAAGAGTTTATTATTATTATTATAATAATTGATTTTGTTTTTTTTAAGTTAGTTTTAAGAATTGTAATAATTGGTTTTATAAAGATTTTGATAATCATTAAATAATTATTTTACAAAGAATTGCAATTACTCTAAAGAAAATAACTTTATTGATTTTTTTTTAATGTAACTTTACAAATAAATCCTCCGAATATGGTAAAAGTCCAAAATTAATGAAGCATAAAACCATTTAAATAATAATAATAATAATAAAAGAACAGCTTTTTTTTTTTTTTTTTTTTTTTTTTTTTTTTTTTTTTTTTTTTTTTTTTTTTT